GCAGTTCTTTTGACCTCATGATTCTCATTTGCTCTGACATGCACTGTGAGCTGTAATGTCTTATATAGACAGGTGTGTGGCTTTCCTAATCAAGTCCAATCAGTATAATCAAACACAGCTGGACTCAAATGAAGGTGTAGAACCATCTCAAGGATGATCAGAAGAAATGGACAGCACCTGAGTTAAATATATGAGTGTCACAGCTGAATACTTAGGACCATGTGATATTTAAGTTTTTCTTTTTTAATAAATCTGCAAAAATGTCAACAGTTCTGTGTTTTTCTGTCAATATGGGGTGCTGTGTGTACATTAATGAGGAAACAAAATTAACTTAAATGATTTTAGCAAATGGCTGCAATATAACAAAGAGTGAAAAATTTAAGGGGGTCTGAATACTTTCCGTACCCACTGTATTATAGATCAGTGGTCTTTACTTGGTACTACCAGTGCTTCAGAAAGGCTGGTATTATAATAATAATTAATATATTAACTTTTTTCAGAACAGAACAGACTTAACAGAAGTAACCCACTTTTGACAATAATCAAAATTATTAGTTAACTGAATCACTGAAATACTTCTCTTAAAGTTCACCACTGGATAAAGCTGGGAAACACATCAATGCTGAGGCTGCGTTTACACTAGTGCGTTTCGTTTTTCATCAGTCGATGCACCAATCTTGCTTGATTTTTTTTTTGCATGGCCGATTTTACAAGCAAATGGGCCGATTCCGATTTGTTAATATTTATTTCATTTTTTAAAGCAAGAGATATGTTACATTTTTAGTCTGGTCTGATCTAACAGCACTCATTAAAGTTTTAATGTTGACTGAGTGCAAGGTAAGACGTAAGTAGCTAAACATTTAATATTACCGTTTTGCAATAGAAATGTAAAAACTTGCAGTAATATGCATTAATACAAACTACTTGATTTAATTCATTATTAAATTCCCTTAAATAAGGACAAAAAGGAACAAATTCATATAAAGAATATACTGTACGTCTCTCAGTGGAATTGTGTATGGTTTATTCTTAAAAAAGGAGAAGTGAAGCTTAGGTATATGAGTCCCTTTGAATTCTGCATATGTGGGTTTTATGTAGTGAAGTGATCAGCATCACATGAATTGACCTATATAATTTTTTTATACACCACCAACAATATTAAGAGACAAAAGATTATAAATACTCAATGAAAAAAGTACAAAAAAATATGCAATCACACAATGACAAATATTGTTCACAGTGGTGGCCTATGACATAGAGCTGCTGACTTTGTTATTATTCATGGTGTATGCAGACTCACACCCACCCTGATGAGGTATGTATGCGGCTGCAATAGTTGCACTGCGTGAGCGGCCAGCCTTACAGTGAATATACACTGGTGCCTTGCTCTCGATGTTTCAAGGCGAAGTCCACACCCTTGTGAATGTGCTCTAGGCTGGGAATACCTGTAAGGTCCACCGTGCTGAGTCTGAGCAGGTCAACGCCAACAGCTTGCCAGTCCTGTTATATAACCAACAGGATAAAAGCACCCTTAGTTGTACATTGACATATGTGATTATGGTTGGTAATGATCGAGTGACAGAGCTGGCAGATGCACTTACCTCAGCCGAATTGCAGAAATATTTTGTCTCATATTCTTCATTCATAGTAATAACTCCTCTGACTTTCTCACTTTGGACCAACTAAAGCCAAACGAGACAAGAGGCGTTAGGTGAGTCCTGAAACAGGACTGGAATTTGATACTGTGGTATTTTATAAATATGGTAGGATCATTATAATTATCATAAATACTGTAAATGACAAATACCTCCTCTGTCATTGACCTGAAATGAAGAGCACCAAGAATGACAGTAGGATCCACGCGATTATACCAATCCCTGGAAGAGATCTTTTCCATGACAACATTGTAAGCGAGTGTGGGACAAAATAAAATCCTTGCTAGAACACTCGAGATCGTTCCTTGTGTACACGAACGACATGTACAACTTCATACGCTTCACAGGAGTTTCATTCTCACTCCTCTTCATAATCACCACCCTGATAGCACACATACATCTCGGAGACGTCTATTTGATGTCTGCATTTACATCTGCAAGACGTATGTTTTTTAGAGTGTTTGCTCATCTGCAATACGTCTATAGGACGTTTCCTTTTAGATGTCAAATAGACGTCTATTAGATGTCTTTAAGATGTTTATGATTTAGAATGTATGTAAAACTGACATCTGAAAGACGTCTGTTAGATGTTTGTCCACAGCAGACGCTTTCCAGATCAAGAGATCTTTAACAGACATCTTGCAGACGTACATGTGCTATCTGGCTATGAAAGAGCTTTTTCTTCGACGCATGTTACAGATCCTCAACATTGCCATCTTCTTCTTCTTCCATTTTTTGGCGTGTTACATCCTATGTGCATTTCGCCACATACTTTTGCTGTTATGCAGTCATGGTTTATTTATTATCAATTTATTCCTTGTTTTTGCTCTTCCTGTTCTTACACACGTATATACACAAATATTCCTACTTAAATAATTATTCGATGCTCCATCCCATTCCTTCTCCCCAGGCTCCACCTGGCGCTGCGTGTTCAGCTCCTCCAGACTAAATCCGTGCGTTGCCATCTTCTGTTTTGGAGGTTATTTGCTGGACACCGATTGGGAAAGGGAATAAATTCACCGAACGCCTTTAACCACTGACCAGATCCCTGATAGCACACGTACATCACAGAGACGTCTATTTTACGTCTGCATTTACATCTGCAAAATGTTTTTTGCGTGTTTTGCTCATCTGCAATGGTTGGTAATGATCGAGTGACAGAGCTGGCAGATGCACTTACCTCAGCCGAATTGCAGAAATATTTTGTCTCATATTCTTCATTCATAGTAATAACTCCTCTGACTTTCTCACTTTGGACCAACTAAAGCCAAACGAGACAAGAGGCGTTAGGTGAGTCCTGAAACAGGACTGGAATTTGATACTGTGGTATTTTATAAATATGGTAGGATCATTATAATTATCATAAATACTGTAAATGACAAATACCTCCTCTGTCATTGACCTGAAATGAAGAGCACCAAGAATGACAGTAGGATCCACGCGATTATACCAATCCCTGGAAGAGATCTTTTCCATGACAACATTGTAAGCGAGTGTGGGACAAAATAAAATCCTTGCTAGAACACTCGAGATCGTTCCTTGTGTACACGAACGACATGTACAACTTCATACGCTTCACAGGAGTTTCATTCTCACTCCTCTTCATAATCACCACCCTGATAGCACACATACATCTCGGAGACGTCTATTTGATGTCTGCATTTACATCTGCAAGACGTATGTTTTTTAGAGTGTTTGCTCATCTGCAATACGTCTATAGGACGTTTCCTTTTAGATGTCAAATAGACGTCTATTAGATGTCTTTAAGATGTTTATGATTTAGAATGTATGTAAAACTGACATCTGAAAGACGTCTGTTAGATGTTTGTCCACAGCAGACGCTTTCCAGATCAAGAGATCTTTAACAGACATCTTGCAGACGTACATGTGCTATCTGGCTATGAAAGAGCTTTTTCTTCGACGCATGTTACAGATCCTCAACATTGCCATCTTCTTCTTCTTCCATTTTTTGGCGTGTTACATCCTATGTGCATTTCGCCACATACTTTTGCTGTTATGCAGTCATGGTTTATTTATTATCAATTTATTCCTTGTTTTTGCTCTTCCTGTTCTTACACACGTATATACACAAATATTCCTACTTAAATAATTATTCGATGCTCCATCCCATTCCTTCTCCCCAGGCTCCACCTGGCGCTGCGTGTTCAGCTCCTCCAGACTAAATCCGTGCGTTGCCATCTTCTGTTTTGGAGGTTATTTGCTGGACACCGATTGGGAAAGGGAATAAATTCACCGAACGCCTTTAACCACTGACCAGATCCCTGATAGCACACGTACATCACAGAGACGTCTATTTTACGTCTGCATTTACATCTGCAAAATGTTTTTTGCGTGTTTTGCTCATCTGCAATACGTCTATAGGACGTTTCCTATCAGATGTCAAATAGACATTTAAAAGATGTCTTTAAGATGTTGATGATTTAGAATGAATGTAAAACTTACATCTTAAAGATGTCTATCAGATGTTTGTACACAGCAGATGCTTTCCAGATGAAGAGCTCTTTAACTGAGATCTTGCAGACGTACGTGTGCTGTCTGGGATGCCATTGATACCGAAGAAGCACATTGTGTGAGGAGTAGGAGACATAAAATCATGGCCTACATTTGTAAGAGTCTCGTGTCATTTTGCAGTTTATCGTGCACTTGTGTTAATGTTTATGAATGAACATCAATGAATCCATAATGTACACTTACCCAAAATACTACAATGCAGCATAAAAGAGGCAATAATGAACACTGGCAGTATGTTCAAATTTTTTTTAAATGTCTTTGAATTTACGTGTACAGACACGCACACAGTAACATTCCAGTAGAATGCAAACCTCTTTTTTTAAGGATAAAGCCAGGATATGGACATCAGTTGTACAATTTTGTGCATGTAAACGTGGTTAATGTCCTTATTACAGTGTGTTTGTGGTTCCTTATGATTGTGAATGCATTTATATAGTACATTTTATTACCAAACCCATAATACTATCAACACAACTGAACAGACATTAAAAATAGACTTCACATAAACCAGTCTGTCAAATACACACATTTGATGTACATCTCCATATCACACAGCCAGACCTCTTGGGCTTTTATTGACTTGAACGACCACGTGAGAGAAACGCACATCTCTGCCTAAGGGGGAACGCATTCTAACCAATTGCTTTTAACTATTGTTTTAAGTATTTATATACGAATTTATCATAAAAGACCAATAGAAATTGTTTTACAGACGTGTCTATCAACGTTATGACACCAAAAGTGCATATTTATTCAATCCATTTCGACAGAGGCTCCACCCCACTCCCCTTTTAATAAATGTGATGGTGCATGCAGGAAAGACAGCCATTTTGCACCGTCCCTCTTCCACCCAGAAAGTAGGTTGTCGTGGGAAGACGTAATCAAAGAAAACGACTAACTCTCAAATCCCACTACACAATCATTCCCCTGTGTCAGCACACCATACCTACTCAGTTACCTCCGTTTGCAAAAGGGGGCATCGAGGGTAAGTGTTGATTGTTGTAGCTGCGCGAGCTAACTGGTGGTTGTTTACGGTCGCTAGCACGCGCTAACATGCGTCGTTATGTAAGAGCAGATCGACCACCGCGCGCCCACGGGGCTCATGTCGCGTATAGATAACTTACTCTTTGACCAGTAGTACATGCGCAGCTGCGTCGAGAGTTATCGAATCTTGTGTAACTTCGGCGCGCTGTTCGAGCTGTTCTGCTAAGTTTGCATCACTGAGAAGTGTAACGATGCAAAGCAAAGCAATTAAATAGATGTAGGTGACGAGCAGGACTCGGGACAGGTCGCTCCCTGTGTTGCACACGCGGTCTTTACATCGCATGCATTTTCACTGCGATCGCTCTCGAAACTAGAGGTCCTGTTGGAAAACGCATGGTCACTCCCTGGCTAAATGAACACGTATATGATCGCAGCAAATGTGTTAGTATAGTAGTAGTGTTAAGTTTTTAGCACAGAGGGCCTGTCATTTGTAAAAGGCTCCTTATGCAAGTAAAATGCAACTTTGTGGCTTAATCTCATATCCATCAAAAGGAGGAATCGATCCCAGCAAAAGTTCTCCGAGCACTAGCAGCGAATGGAAATGTCTCTTCCTGATAGAGCTTCATGTCGCGTATAGATAACTTACTCTTTGACCAGTAGTACATGCGCAGCTGCGTCGAGAGTTATCGAATCTTGTGTAACTTCGGCGCGCTGTTCGAGCTGTTCTGCTAAGTTAGCATCACTGAGAAGTGTAACGATGCAAAGCAATTAAATAGATGTAGGTGACGAGCAGGACTCGGGACAGGTCGCTCCCTGTGTTGCACACGCGGTCTTTACATCGCATGCATTTTCACTGCGATCGCTCTCGAAACTAGAGGTCCTGTTGGAAAACGCATGGTCACTCCCTGGCTAAATGAACACGTATATGATCGCAGCGAATGTGTTAGTATAGTAGTAGTGTTAAGTTTTTAGCACAGAGGGCCTGTCATTTGTAAAAGGCTCCTTATGCAAGTAAAATGCAACTTTGTGGCTTAATCTCATATCCATCAGAAGGAGGAATCGATCCCAGCAAAAGTTCTCCGAGCACTAGCAGCGAATGGAAATGTCTCTTCCTGATAGAGCCTTTACTTTCTTGTTTCAACGCTAACGTGCTAATAACATCAGTAACGCTACTGCTCCTGAGGCCATCACATTCAGTGTCAGTGTTTGTCTAGCTTAGTTTGCAAGTGCTCATATAGCTGCTTGTTTCCACTAAGTCTGTCAATAAAATGTGTTATAAGTTAAATGTGGTGAGAAATGTTAGTCTCTGGCCTTCTGCTTTGAGCATCACAGGCCTGCTGAACAGAAAGCTGCTGCTGTTCAGGACTGTCACGTGAACTATCACTATCATTTGATAAGAGCTTCACAATGGACGATTGTGCTTCTACTTCCTAGCCAAAACCTCTGTATAGGTATAATGCATAACGCTCTCTGAAAATGACTTGAGGAATCCATAAAGTCACATTATATTGACAGGACTTTAGCAGGACTAGTCGGTGCTGAATGCAATGGTAATCTAATGTGGACTGTGTTCTGTTGGGAATTCTTTATCACGTTAGCAGTGTTGCGACCTTCAGTTGTAGTTTGGTATAGAAATAACGAGTTATGTCTAGAATGGGAGCCTTGTGGGTAAAAGATTTTCAGAAAAAAGACAACATAGGTTGACGATATGCTATTGAATAAGAGCTCTGCCGTGAAGAGCAAGAAGGCCCATTTTGCTTGACGTGATTGCTTGCGGTGTTAATTTTGATAGGCATTTTTGATTTGGTCTTAGTCTTTATCTTGAGACGAAAATGCTTAATAGTCTTAGTCACATTTTAGTCATTTGAGTCTTTCATAGTTTTAGGCGATGAAAAGTCATTGCGTTTTTCTCAACTTTTAGTCAAACTGCAGTTACCAACATTTATTTTGGTAGCTATTTTATATGTAGTCTTCAAACAAAAATAGCCATTAATTCTTCTCTCTTTAGACCAAATCAATTAAGGTCATGAGAAATTTGAATCAAGGATTGAATTTGGAAAAACTTGAATAAATGATGACATTTTCATTTTTGGGTGAACTATCCCTTTAACAGTAGTGAAAAGGGAGCAACTTATAAAAGTGATAGTTTTTCATATATAATTTATAATTTTTGAAAAAAGCAGAATAAGACCAATACGAAAGAGATGCAAATTAAACTCATTTTTCAGATACAGTAGGTTTACCTAACATATTTAACATCTTTTGTTGTTTAACATTAATGGCACTGGCACAGATAGGTACTTAATTAGGAATGCTGTCCCTTTTAGACGGAAGGCATGCATGTAAAACTGACACGCGTTCAGTTTTCACCCACCTGTTTACGTTCACTTAATCCATAAGTGACTGTATTTACATGAGATACTCTACACGATAGACATTTGGACTGCTGTGTGTGTATTTGAGCACTGAGAACTGATCGCGCGCTGTATGAGAGAACTGAAGAAGTGGAGCGTGTGCGAGAGAGAGCAATTCTATCAGCGCGATTCCACCTATCCCGCCTCACTAACTTTAAGTCAATCGACAACGAATTGTGACTCCCGGGAAAAACGGGACGTCTGGTCACCTTATCCCTACCCCTTCGGGTGCTGAAGCCATTGTTTCAGATCGCTAGTTTGCATTTTGGTGGGCTATCCATCCACTGCGGCTGCCATACTGAGACTAAATATGCAAATGGCCCTCATCCGATTGCAATCCAATGACAGGGACACACATTTTGAAGGACAAGACAGTAGCCTATAGAATGTATTTTGAATGTCCGGTAGTCCTCAAATAACATTATAGTCTCGTCTCGTTAATGAAGATGCGGCATACATTTCGTCATAGTTTTTATCATCCGATATTAGTTTTAGCTCGTCAACGTCTCGTCTTAGTCGCAGAAAAAATGTTCATTAACGAATATTTTTCGCCATCGTCTTCGTTGACGAAATTAACACTGATTACTTGTAATGGGCTCTTTGGTGTATTTGTGTACTTGTGCTGTGTTTGATAATGAACTTTGTTTTTTAACCTAGTTGACATGGTTAGGTGAGGTTAGGTGAGGTTAATGGGATATTTTATCCAGATTTCCCACAATTATGTATTGACACCTTTAAGCATACAGGTGAAAATGAAAAGTATGCTTAAAGTGAAAATGTTGCACTGAAGGTTTATATTATCTTAATGTATACAGAGGGGCAATATATGCCTGTATTGTGCTTTTGTATTACATTAGACTTCATTAGATAAAGCCAGTAGTAACTGACCTGTTCAGGCCTTATCTGACATTGGCAGGATGTACAGCATTGACTCTCTTGTAAGATCTGTCCGTCTTCGTGGCTTGATTGTAAAGGGAAAAACCCAACTCTAATAGAGCCAGTATAAATAATACACGAAGACAGCAAATTAGCCCCTGTGTCTTTCTAAGCATGGTAACGGAGGTAAAGGACAGCAAGTCCACAAATACTGGGAATCAACACAGATGTTCATTGATAAAATGCCAGTCTAACCGTACGGCTGTTCTTTCTACAGATTGACGGGAGCAACACTTCAGAAAAGCAAGGCCACAGAGAGGGTAAGTGTTTCTCACTTTTGTGTTAGGATGTCTTGCAGTGGACTATTTGTTAAGCAAGACGTCACAATGTTGTGTGTGAATTTGGGAAAGGTAGGTATTCATATTCCAAATGACTGGCGCTCAGAACATGATTTGACTAGAATCATCAGACAGCGCGCTCGAAGCCAACAGATTAGTTTGAGAGGTCGCAGATGAGTTGATTTTCAGTCCTTATGAATGCCTGATGAGAACTTCATTGTGTAAAAAAACCCCCCACTATACTGGTTCTTGAACTTCAGTTTCTATTCGCGTCTCTGTCAAAGAAATTAACAGTTGTGGCCTTGTGTTCCTCAGACTATTTGGACGTTCGGTGCTTGTAGTTCCTAGAGTATTCCAATTTTAATAAGAGCCACAAGCGTCATATCTGTAAACTCTTATGCTACAATGCTGCTAGTGTTTGGATAATTAGTGTCTGTTTATGTCAGCTTGTAATAAAGTATTAGTCACAAATGTGGAGGTTAGGGGTGTAACGGTGCACATATTTGTACTGAAAAATTTCGGTGCAGGTCTTTCGGTTCGGTACGCAAACACAGCATTGGTTTAACCACTGCATGAGTGGAACTTAATTGGAAACTTCCACTTTTATATATTGTTACTTTTGATAAGAAGCAAAGTCTCATATTTCAAATCATGTCTTTTTTTTGTCAGGAAGTTCAAACAATAGAAATGCCATTGATATTCTTAGATGTAGCGTGACAGATCGCTGTATAAACGCCTCTTTACTAGTTTTAACGTGAAAACTCGGTGCAGGTCTTTCGGTTCGGTACGCAAACACAGCATTGGTTTAACCACTGCATGAGTGGAACTTAATTGGAAACTTCCACTTTTATATATTGTTACTTTTGATAAGAAGCAAAGTCTCATATTTCAAATCATGTCTTTTTTTGTCAGGAAGTTCTAAGAATATCAATGGCATTTCTATTGTTTGAACTTCCTGACAAAAAAAGACATGATTTGAAATTTATACTTTTTATTTAAATTAAATATAATTAAACGCCTCTTTACTAGTTTTAACGTGAAAACACGTCAATAAAACAGCTTGTAAACAAAATGTCACATAGCATTTCATTTACCTCAGGCAAGGCATCAGTGTCCACAGATTGTTATTTCGCTAGAGAAACGAAGTCTAGGGAAGAGCATTTCGCGAAATATTAGACTTTATACTCATTATATTTTACTTTAACTGTTAGTGATGTCTTAATTATTTAATGTTTAAATAAATATGTTATGAAACAAGTTATGACAGCCACTGTGTAAATGAATATATTTTAACAACAAATAGAAATTTTTATCATTTAGAATTTAATTTCAAAATTGCATTGTGCAATTTACACATTTGCATATTTTTTTAGGTTGTGTGTTGATTATTATATTTAAAAAAGAAATCGTAATCAAATATAAGTTTGGGCTCTGTTGTTAATTGTAACCTTATAGTAATGTAGAAGGGCTCCCTATAGTTTAGAGCATAAGCTGAAGTAGATTTTTATCCCTAAGAAAATTAATTATAATTTAATTTATTTAAAGAAAGGGCAATTTGTTCTAGGGTTGTAATTTTTTTTTTTTTCGAATATTCATCGAATTTAAAATATAAATCCACATTCGAATGCAAAAACGTTGCATTCAAATTTTAGGTGTGCGTCAGGCAGCCTTATGTTTCCATCACCCTGTTTTAATGCGCATTTTGAAGTATCGCATGAGAACCGAGTGATGGAAACGCCAAATTTAGAAAATTAATCTCTTAATTCACAAAACGTTTTACACTCGCTTGAGGTGTTTTTTGACTTGTGCGAAAAAAGGTTAATGCGAATAATGAGAGATGGAAATGCATTTTGCGAATAAATCCCACATGAGCATTCAAAAAAAAGTAATGTGACTTTGCGCTATGGGACAGCATAACCTGACTAACCAGCAGACCGATTTTGTTGCACAGCATCTGAAATGTTGTCATGGTCATTCTGAAGTGCCCGAGCAAAGTCTGTCGTCAAAGTATTTCTGTATAACTGCCTCCCAGAACGGTCTACCACGACTGCGTTCCCAAACAGCTGACATTCACCTCCAAAAGCAAGACCGCATTTATTGTTTCGTCTGCTCACTCAAAGCACAAGTAATTTATTATATTTGAGAATTATTATATTCAGTGGCTTCTCTTACTTTTCTTAGTGATATTTAGTGCCAGTTTATCAAGAAGTGACGATTTTGTTCTCTCTGACTCGTTGGATGGAAACGGTGCTTGTTCGCAAATGTTTTATGCGATATTCCAATTTTGTGCATAAGTTAAATTCGCAACTTTGAATGGAAACCTGGCTAGTGGAGCAAGAAATGCGACGACGATGTAAGTGTCATTTTAATGCTTTTGTTAACCTATCCAGTTGAACCCACTAGATGCGGCGCTGCTACGTAGTTCATTCAAAATATTGCAGAAAAAGAGAACAATCAATGCGGGAAAGATGTTGTTTACGTCAAAACTGAAACCAAGCTGTTCACACACAATGCATAATATTGCGTTTTCTAGATGGACATCTATCACCGTTGCACTCGCGTCTCGCACAAGAGAGCCGCATGTTTAGAAAGCTATGTAAAAAAAGTTCAACTTTTGGCGACTTTATGGCGGTTTTCCTCATCCCACTGCAGCTAGTTTTTAAATGAAGAAAGTACTCTTTGTGATTGGTTTTCGGTCCTTTGTATTAAACTATACATACATGCATGATGCTGTTTAGTTTCTAATTGTTTAAGCAACTTTATTAATTATATAAGGTTTATAAACATTATTTTAAACATTTTAAAGTTATTTTATTATGCTTTGAAGAAACGTGCATAATATTTTGCTCGATGCGCCCTCTTGTGGCCTCAGGAGAGAAGCCAAAAGCTTTTCCCCCCCAACTGAAATTATGCCTTTTAAATTAGAATATAATTCGAATATTGATAATATTTAAGTAAAACATTTGAATTTAGTTTTTCAGCCATTTTGACAGCCCTAATTTGTTCAGTAATCCACTGTTTAATAAAAAAAAAAGTAATTTTATGTTTAGTTTTTCCCCTTGCCGTACCGAACCGTGACGTCAAAACTGAGGTATGCACTATGTACCGAACTGCCATGTTTGTGTACGGTTACACCCCTAGTGGATAGGGCTGCACGATAAATCTCATGCGATATTTAACACGCACAGAGCCGTTGTTCACTGACAAGGTGCGCTAACATGCGCAAAATATGATCGTGGTTATATGCAGCTTGTCAGTGAACAACGGCTCTGTGTAGTAAATGCTGCTCCATGTGAAAGCCCGCACGTGATGGTGATTTACCGCTGATTACCACCATAGCAGCATCAACACACTTGAGTGTGTGTGCACTAACAAGTAACCAAGGAAACTGTTTGTCTTAAATTCTGAGCACTAAATACTAAGGAACAGAGAGTTCATTTCATGCAATTTTGCTTCATGCAGCTCTCTAAAATCACAACATACATTGACAGAAACGGAGGTGCAAAATCCTAAATGGCATCCACTAGTAGGGCTGCACGATAAATCGCATGCGATATTTAACGAGCATCTTGTCAGTAAAGCCGGTTCTGTAATCAGCGGTAAATCACCATCACGTGCGGGCTTTCACATGGAGCAGCATTTACTACACAGAGCCGTTGTTCACTGACAAGGTGCGCTAACATGCGCAAAATATGATCGTGGTTTTATGCAGCTTGTCAGTGAACAATGGCTCTGTGTAGTAAATGCTGCTCCATGTGAAAGCCCGCACGTGATGGTGATTTACCGCTGATTACAGAACCGGCTTTACTGACAAGATGCTCGTTAAATATCGCATGCGATTTATCGTGCAGCCCTACTAGTGGATGCCATTTAGGATTTTGCACCTCCGTTTCTGTCAATGTATGTTGTGATTTTAGAGAGCTGCATGAAGCAAAATTGCATGAAATGAACTCTCTGTTCCTTAGTATTTAGTGCTCAGAATTTAAGACAAACAGTTTCCTTGGTTACTTGTTAGTGCACACACACTCAAGTGTGTTGATGCTGCTATGGTGGGCTGTTCTTTACAGTTGTATTTTTGTCCTGCATGGCAACACCTCTATTATCTGCAACTGTGGGCTGGCAATTCCAACAGACTCTGTACTCATGTTTGTGTGTACATAAATACTGAGGGATTTCAGAAGAGTGTTTGACTGGAGGGTCTAGAGTGCAGTTGTTGGTGTGAGTTTGCGAGCGCTTAGTGCACCGTCAAGGGGGTTTATGTCTCCGTTACAGGGGGAAGGGATGTGTGTCAGAGTGCAGGCTCTTTAAAGGAGCCATCAATCATCTACAGCTTTACCTTTAAAATACTCATGAGGAGGCTAAAATACTTGTACTGAGCTACTGAAAGTCTTAAATTTTGTTTTGTACTTAACATCCTAATACTTTAAGGCAAAAAGCTTTTTTGGCTTTGACTTCCGTCAGATTTCGCTGTAGTAAGTTCATGTCTGACAGTTGCTGCACCATGGCAGCTGTTAAATTGTGACCACGCTCTCCAGGAGGTTGTTACCACATGGAGGTCAGCAGCACCTGTCGGGAACATTCCTGTTTGTGCTCCTCCTAATGTGACTAATGAATGCCATTAAATCCCCAAATAATTATTCCTATACATTTAAACTTTTCCAATATGACACTGTTGTTGTTTATTTTTTATTTTCTTTAGTATTGCATGTAGTGAAGGGACTAGGCTATATCTTACAGTATGCGTGGCTTCACTGTTTGTGCTGCACATGTTCAAGTGGGTAATGTTTGGTCTGTAATGTTAATTTTTTTTTCTGTGCAGTTATTATGAAACACATTTCAGTATCCTCAGACAAAACTTGACTTTCTGTTTGACATGACTTTGAGCAGGAGTTTATTATGAAGAAGGGTTGCTGGTAGTGAGAGTTTGATTTGGCTGTGATAGTTTTCTCCAGTTTGGCAGTGAAATGGGTGATTCTGCAGGA